CGCGCGGATGCTGGAAGTCCTCGCCGATAAGGGAGCACATAGGGCTTGCAGCGAAAGGACAAGGGACGCGGAAGGAAGCACGGGGGAGCGTTTTAATACCAAATCGGGACACATGTTGAGCTAACGGACCGCGCCACCTCCCCCTCTCCTCCCAGATGCGTTTGTTTCCTCAGCCGTTTTTCCGTTACTAGTTACTCCGCGTTAGGATAAAGCCAGCGGATCTCCTCTCCGGTTCCCAGGATCCTCGCTCACAGTTTATGGTTGGACGATCATGGATCTCAGTAAAATTGTAAGTGCTGAAGGACAGATTTGTTAGCTTTACTTATGTAAAACAACACACACCGACAGCAACAGATATACCGAAGGCTTGCGTGCTTCTTTGGAGGTGGGGGTGGTGTCCAAAGAAGTCCTGTTGCATGCATATTCTAGGGTTGTTTGCCCAAATACATGTTAGTTATGCTGTATGTAAGCAGGAACTTGTTGTTGTATGCCTATATTACAGCATTATGTGTCCAAGGGAAGTTTGGATTTTGTAGTGGAGAAGGAGGAGGCAGGAATTCTGAGTAGACGATCCTGAAATTTGTTCCAGTGGTTTGCAAACTGAGGCACAGAGTACCTGGTAAATGGAAGAACAGTTTAAATAGACTAGTTTGAGTAATCAGGACAAGACTCAGAGATCACGTGTGCCTAAATGTTCTAATAAAACAACAGTAACCAAATTCTTTGTTAACACATGCTGTTTTTGTGGCTGTAACTTGGGGTCCAGGACGTGAAGATGCCTGTGCTGTGCTCCTCTGTTTATCACATGGCTCAGTCTTCAGCTGCAGGTTAGTGGGAAAAGGTTCAGCGGAGCACAGCTTAAATGTGCCATGAATGCCAATTACAGATTGTATTAATGTCTGTTGGAGACAAAACTAAAGGCACACGGTGTAGGTCTACTGATGGGCAACTGTCATTATGTGACGCAAATGAAAGCAGGTCAGTAAAATATTGGACACTGTGGACTTCGTTACACATTTGACAGGCAAACTAACTGTGAATGATGCGTTCAAGGCTAACGGGCAGTCTATGTTTTAGAGTGTACGGGAGCAGGTGCACATAAGCCAAAGCAACAAGACCAGCCTTTCGCCTCTAACATGGATGGATGGGTGTACTTTTAGTCCTTGGATAGATGTGGGGGAGGGTGGGTGACATGAAAGCACACCCAGAGCCCTCTTATTTCCCAAAGATCCTGAGCAAAAGGAAACAGAGAAGTTTGTGGAGGAAATACTTTAAAACAAATATTAGCCTTTACATACAGAGGCACCAGATCCAGGCAGTGTCCTTTAATACTGGAACAGGAAAATCACTCTCATCTCTGAAATAAATCTCGGCAGCCCACATGAAGTCAGTTGGGGCATGTAGCGCAGACAGGGTGTGGGTGTAGTGATGGAAATACTCCGGTGGATCTCCATTCATTTCAGACAAACCTCTTAATGTTAGTGGAAGATGGTTCACTATTGTAGATCTAACAGAACTCAAGGCCGTTCTCCCCGGTCTTCTTTTTCTGCCAACATGTTTTGGCTTTTTGGCACATAGTTAGACGCAGTGGTATGAAAACAAAGTCAAGAGAGATGTGAGACTCCAAGCAGTCTCCGTTCCCACGCTGTATCAAGGTTGGTGATGTACAGTAGAGGTTTTTTTGGGGGGTGGTGGTTGCTGAGGGACTTGATTGTGTAAGATTCTAATGTTGTAGGGCATGCACGATGATGAATTTGTACAGATATCAGATAAGTGCAATAAAAGTCACCAACCAGAATCAAAACAGGGGATCCTGTGTCCCTGGGTGGCCTTCTTGCATTTTTATGCTGATACAGATTGTCACAGGTTTTTTATAAATGTTAAATATTAACTCATTAACAATCTGGCTTTTGAGTAGAGCTTAAATGATTGGTCAGTCCAAATGAATCGGTAACAATTTTGAGGGTCAGTTGAATATTTTTGTAATTTTGCAAAAATGAAAAACTGTTTGCAGCTTGTCCAGTGTGTATATTTGCAGGTTTTCTGTGGTATTAAGTTAAATAGCTTTTGGACTTTTTGTTGGACAAAACAAGTCCTTTAAAGTTAATGTAAAGTTAATGTCACACCATGTTGATTTTTTTTTGGTAAATGCGTCATGTTTGGAGCATCACGCTCATTATCAGTCATAGATACTGTATATATTCACTACATACATATAAAAATTAATTTTAATAAATGGAATCCCCAGTCAGATGCGAATACTAGTGGGTGCTGTAACTACGTCCACTTTAGTTTTCAGTTTGATCACAGACGGGACAGAAATTGATTCATTTGCAGTGTGTGTTATCTGCTGACAGCTACTAGCTAGCGTTAGCTCTCAAACCGAAAGCTGAGATCAGTGTGCAGTCATTTTTGAGTCTGTCACTCTCGTTATGGGATCTCTAGGTTGGCTGAGTCAGCTAAGGACCCGAACAATTTAATTAGCCAAACAAAAAAGTATGCAGGTAACTACAGTGTATAACTCCAAAAATGGCGCCCCCTTCCCAACACACAACACAACACAGTGTGACGTATCTTCACATTCTCTGTAACTTCAGTAACGTCCCTAAGGAGATACACATGCACAGCAAACGGTTTCTTGAACAAATACAACAAATTGAGCTGACAGTTACCAGTCAAACAGACTGTGGTGCTTAGAAGAAATGTGTTTGCTGCAGGAGTGTGACTGTTGTGGGATGGATTCATTGGTGTTGGACCACTACATAAGCCCTCATCGTGTTCTTCAGGACCCCCACCCACCCACACACACAAAGGATGTGATGTTCATGCATCTACAGTGTTGGGGAGTAATGAACAAGTGGGCTGAGGAGCTTCACTGAGGTGCACAGATGCTTCTTTTATAGTGCGTTTTCATGGCATCACCAGTCATGCAGGAAGCTTCAGGGCTGAGGCTCCTTCACACCAGGCTGTAGAAAGCTGACTTATTAGGAGAGGCTCATGAACCTGCCATGGGAGTGTAGGCCTGAGTGTTTAATTATGCTGGAGCCTGGCCTTCAGCATATGTGTGCATCTTTAACCAGCTCGCTACCATCAGGAGTAGAAGCCTGATGCTATGAAGTCACACACCAAATATCCTGAAGCGCTGTATTTTCATGCTTTTTAATGGGATCCCATTGAGCTTATCATTACTACCAAATGCCCTGTTAGTAAGGGGATAAAAGATGCTCAATGGGTTCTGGATCAAACAAGTTCCTACTTGCAGTCTGAGAGGCTTGTATGTGACCGACAACATCAGCCTTCATGGTGCTGATCATGATTAGGTTGTTAGATGTGAAGGTGACATGGGTGGGAGTTCCAGCATCACTCATATCCAGAATTATTAACTGCGAAGCAGGCTCTGTTCATTGTTTTGATCATGGCGCAGACTACGTCAGTTCCCTCCACTGGAGCCTCGACAACATGAGCTCCGCGAGCTTGGAATTTTCCTTCTAACGGTTTGGTCTTTCCCAGCATGTGCATTTGAGTACACAGGAAAAATAGTTGTTCTAAAAAAATGGCCATCATTTCCAGGCCCTTCCTCTCGTCTGTGCCAGCCAGACTCCTTCTCAAGAGGTGTGGAGTGACTGTTGTATGAGTGTGCATGTTCCTGTCAAACAAACCACACAGAAAGGTCCTTAAACCAGCAACACAGAGAGCTCTCTTCAGAGGAGTGACCTTTTCATTTAGGTGGAGTTACTTTTGGAAATTTGTTTTGGCCCCAAAAGGCTTTTTTTTTTCATTTATTATCTGATTTTCGAATGTGTTGTAAAAAAAGTGCAGCTTCATGCTGTTGTGACCTCTGGTGAAGAAGGGTGTGTGTGTGCTTGTGTGAAAACGCATTGTGGTGAGGCTAGTTCTTGGTTTCGAGTGTTTATTTTTGTTCATGCACATTGAACCATAAGAGGATTGTATTATTTTTTTAGGAAATGGGCATGTAGTTTTATCTAGTCAAAATTTCATTGAGAATAATCAAACCACCCAAATACACAAGAAATACTGAGATTAAAGGCCATACTAGTCGTGCTCACAGATGTACTGCTGTAAACAAACCTTGAATAGAACCAGAAAACAGTAAAGCTGCTGTAATGCATTCTTTCTGTGTTAACAGTTGAATCCAATTATTGTGTTTATGTGCTTGTAGTCCTCAGCTCTTTGGATAACGTTAGCCTCTTTCAGCTCTTTGTTTTGGTTTTATGCTCCGCACCTTTGCAGTTTTGGTTCATGCTCGTCGCTCTTATCCGTGATGGTGACAGCAGCAGTATGAAGCAGTTTTCAGGGAAAATGCTGTGGTCAAGTCACTGTATACTACAGAGACAGTTGGAGACTAGCTGGTGAACATAGTGGAGCATTTTGCAGCTAAAAAGCCAGACATTACCCTCGGGGGTCGTCAGAGATCAAACGTAGAACTTAATGAGCGAATATAGGACCTGCATTTGTAATATGAAGCACAATTCCCACTGAATGATAATATGCTGATTTTACAAGCTAGGGGTTGTTGTTTAGTGGTCATATATTAAATGACCACTTGTTTAAAATAACTGATAGAGCGTGCTGTGAAAATAAGACTCAAGTGTTATTTCCTTGAAAGACACCTAGAAGTGTCTGGCAGGAAATGTGAGAGCAGTAGAACGAATGAAGCGTTCAGCCTGACCGACTGTCTCTGGGTTGACTGAGCAAGGTTTGGAGCTGCAGGAGTGGTGGCAGAGCTGGGCATTTTTCAGCAGGCAGGCAGGAAATGGGCAGTGCAGGGTGTGCCAAGACAGGAATCCTGTAACCCTTCCCTTCCCGCCACCACCACTCCCCCACCCCCTGCTGCGTCAGCCACAGCGCCCATGCCTCCACGGCGTTCACAGACAGGCTGTTTACATGTCCACCTATGGAGAAGTCTCAGCAGCAGCCACCCGCCCCCATTATGTGGCATCCGAACCACCATTCATTTATGCTGGAATCTTGAAGTGTGAAAAGTGTTTCCATGTGTGCTCTTGGTTGGGAAAGGTGGAAAAATGTATTGACAGATGGAGTCACATGTGAGTGTGAAGTACAGTTAAGAGAAGATTCATTTTGGTTTGAAGAGATTTCAAAGACCATACTCTAGGTAGTTTGATAATAAGAGTGTGTGATTAAAAGTAAAATAAAAGTATTTCATTATCAGAATCAGCTTATCTTCTGATTCTGACAAATACTTATGTGTGCGCAGTGTTTCTGTCGTGTTAGTGTTGTGATTGTATATAAATCTACTCAACTAGAGCACTGCCAGTCTCTATCCTGTTGATTTACATTTTGAGTTTACCTAAGGTGCTTTTTCCTGTCTTGTCATTACACATTCATCTGAAGATTTCTCAGTAATTCATTTCACCTGTGAAATCAAAATTTGTTATGACAGAATTAGCTCTTTGGAAATTTTCAGCAAGCTTTGGGGGCCATTCTTAAATGGTCTGGATTAAAAACAAGACACTGATTTGTGTCTTAGCTCATTTTATTTTTTGTCTTGTCGTGTTTGTCCATGCTCATATCAGCTGTTGAATTGAATTGACTCGTCAGCCCGATGACAAGGCTTGACTTCAGGATCAAGTACTTGCACAGAGGCAGCCAGAAACCTGATAAATGTGTGAAGCTAAAAGCACAGCTCAGTCTGTCATGGCTGCTCCAACCTCTGTATCAAATGATTGGGGTCAGATAATCATAGTACTGTAACTAAGATTAATCACTGAGCTCCCATACTAAATCGTCAGGGTCACACAAGGACACGTCCTGCCCCTCCTCAGCCGTACAAATCTAAATTCAGTGAGAACAAGTGCTTCCCTGCACTCTTTCATTTGGCTCCGCTGAGGTCATTTTCTCATGACTGAACTCTACTGACTGCGGGTTTTTCCTCATCATTAATGTTGAAATGAAAAGTGCCACAGCCGAGGACAAAAGCTATCCAAGAGGTGCTGTCTTTTCTCTGCTACCATCATAGAGTGATAATGATGTGATGACATATCCCTGGGGCTAAGGTGGAAATCGAATCGCTGAGCCATGCGTTAGTCACCTGTTCTTGTGAATGGGTCAGAGGATGGGGAAGTGACTCAGTGGGTGAAGGCCGTTTCATTTAGCAAGCAGAAGATGCCTCCTCTCTCTCTGAGCGCTGTGCCCTGGCTCCCCAGTGGACACAGCCAGGCTACGATCAGCATATCAATGCCCTGCTTTCTACAGAAGGGCTGATTCGGGGCTGCCAGGCCGAGCTTCACATGCTTTCAACACCAGATCAATAACACTTTGTTCGAAAGCAAAGCTCTGGTAAAACAGATGTTACTGTAGAAACTAAGATGAGAGTTTTGCGTTCAAGAGGGGAGTAACTGAGCAAATCCTTATCATAACTGTTAAGTATAATCGTTTAAAGTGAGGGAAGGATGAAGCATGAAGGAGGATATGCAGAGAAAGAGAGGCGAGGTTGGCCTTCTGTGGACGCAGTGACGTACACTAGGTCCCTCTCCAGTCTAAAGAGGACTCCCTCTGGTCTGTTCTTTGCTCTTTATCCTCGTAATCATTCGCTTCTTACCTCAGATTTAATTTCTTATGGTTTCACTGCTTCAGATGGTCGAGCTGCGAGGAGCAAATAGGCCATTGATGCACCGATGCCAGCAAAGCTGCCAATGCCAGGACTCCTGGGCAGCTGGCACTCTTCATTCAACCCAAGCACAAAGTACAAAGTCTCACTGTGGGCTAATTGGGTCATCTTCATGTGGGAACCAGTTGCACTGGGAGTTTTTCAATCGCCCCTTGATTTCTGTGTATGAGTGACAGGGAGAAAAGGGGATGCAAAATGAGTCGACCCCACACAGCTGATCTTCTTGTAACAGTTGCAGTATATATTAACACCAGCTGATGCCAAAGCTGAAAACAGTGGTAAATGTACTGATGACAAATTGAGACAATGCCACTGTTGGTTGTTTTGACACCTTAATAACAGTCACAGGAAATGACACAAAAGTAACTTCCTTCTTTGCTAATGCAAGACAGATGTATCTAGAATGTAAACGGAGTGTCTGGGCTAAGCTACACACTGGATTTGATATTGAGGATGGTAAGTCTTTTGATAAAGAGTCAGTGTTGCAACCCTTGAACTAGCATTGGAAGTGAAAATGTGCAGGTTTGTGGGTTTGTGAGATGTATTTTAGCAAAGCAAGCAAGAGCAAAATGCAGTGTTAATTTGAACTCACTTACTACAAGACCGCTCGTGTGTTCTTAGCAGAGCTGAAGCTGAGAGATGGTGCTCATTCCCAGCTGTGGTTAGAGAGGCGCTACAGGAAGTTTGATCGTAACTTCCAAAATCCCCAGTGTAGTTGAATGACGTTTTCCTAAAACTGTGTCCAGTAATCAGTCCACTTATGGTTATGTGATTTCTTACTCTTTTTTTTTTTTTTTTTATTCAACAGTAGAAGTTTAAGTTCTTACAAAGCAGATGCTCAAATTTAACTCTGTGACCTTTCTCCTGTGGTCTCGATCAGAGGAAGTGCTGTAGGTTTGACTTATTTCCTGTCTCTTCTGCACAGCCTGGACAAGATCATGTAAACCCTACTGTGTTTGACCTTTACAGAGCTGACACACACAGCCAGAGTCTTGGCTCAGGTTGTCCTGTTGATGCCACAGGACAGGTGTTGGACTTGTAGTTCCAGTTTAATCAGCATCGTGCGTGTTTAATGACGGCCCGGTCGTTGCCTTTACGACGCTCCGTGGTCTCTGCTACATT